CCCCACAAAATGCAAAACAAGCGCCCCTCAAGAAATCCGAACCTTCATAGCATGCCCGCGAAGCAAGACCATTACCACTACACCAAGCCACCGTTGATTGAGATCGTGCTTCCCGGCTATTTATGCGATGGCTGGCAACCGCGCTCGACTCTGTTTTCCTACATTTTAATTCTAAAAAACCTTCATAATTCCGTTCATAGAGACCGTTCCTGGCAAAATTTCGAAGAGCATGATTCGGAATCAGCGTCCAAACATCACGTCTATGTGAGACTACATCTCATTGAACAAATATGGCATTCGTAACCTGACGACCTTACCTTAGCTCCTTAAGATAACTAGTAAGGGCGCATCAAAAAAGAAATGCGTACGTGGTGCCGGTCCTTTGAAATTCGTCCGTAATGGCAGTAGCGCCATATTCGCAATCAACAGTTCCGGTTCGATTTTTGAATGGTACGCCTTAAAAATACACACTTAGCTGCAGGGGGTCGTAGAGACCACCCACTAATAGTAAATTAATTCATTAACAACTCACCGGCATTGCAGTGTTGCCGTTTTCCGTAAGAAACTGACTGGAAAATAAAACGAATTCAAGGAAAAAAACGGTAAACTAAGCTGGAATCAGACAAAGACAGTGCGCGGATGAATACCGCTTTCACGAACGTGAAATTCAGTAACTATCACCATTTATACAAATAAATTTCACAACTGGGAGAAAAAAATCACTTAGAAGCACCCGGTAATAATTATGAAGAAGATGAGTAGTATAACAATGGAACAAAATGGCAACTGTAAGGATAATTACCAGATATATGAAGACATTTTTGCAATTGCAAAGTCGCAGAAAAGCGAAAACCAAACATATACAAGGTTCAGCTTTTGTTGTTTGATCCAGAAGACGTTTCCTCCGACGCTTGTATGCGTTCAATTTGTTCGGCAAATGACTGCTTCGAGAGCAACATATAGTCGATTGGCGTGATCGTTAACAATGATACCCAACGTTCCAAGGCTTTGAAATTTTCGGCAGCAAAAATAAAACTTCTTCCGGTTCTGAATGAAGGATATTAGAGTTCAGAACAGAGCAGAACAATAGAACGAAATTTTCGTTGTGGACGTTAGGGAGTGTCACAAGGTGGGCTGCTGCATCGCCACCTCTTCGCCTATTCATTGCTGCTTGCTCGCTTCAGCAGTTCGTGGAGAGCCAGGGCTGCGCCAAACCGAACCCCCCGACACATTCCAGCGCCTGCAGCGAAAACGTATACCAGTAAAAGGCATTTTGGTATTTAAATCCTCTAGGCTTGGACAAAATTCTTCATCTTACGAAATATCGCGCGCGCACCAGCAATGAATGGGGAATGAGTGAATAGAACGGCAAAAGAATTAAGGAAATGGTGAGGAATCACACAACTTTTACCCCTCCTTCTACAGAATTGAGGCAACCGTTGTTTTCGCCTTTAACTCATATCACTATAATGTGGTATATAAGCCCCACTCATGACAGAGTGAGGTTCAGTTTACGGAGTTAGCGGTTGTATTACCTATGTTACGACAATAAAGAAGCTATGCTACCCGTCGTGGAATACAAGCTTCACAACATGGCGACCACGGAACAACAAAAGGACCAGCAATCCGAAGAACCAAGAACCAGTATCTCTACTACAACAGCAGGAATCCAGAAATCTAATCAAGCCAAACATCTCCAGGTCACTTGAGTGCACTTGTAAGAGCGCGTTCAGACTTCGCGATCGCGCGATCGGATCGCGCGATCCGATCGCGCTACTGAGGGTGAAATTACTGCGGGAGGGGGTTATGTGCGTATATGTTTATTGATCCTTGCCTCCTCTCCTCTTCATCTTTTCCTTCTTTCTGTCCGTATTGTGTAAACGCCCTCTGTACTAAATTTTAAGAACGTTTTCGAAATATCTTTGAGTTATTTATTATTTCCTATGTAAAATAGTACTAAATATACAATATGCTAATTATTATACTGAATTTTGCATTGAGTACGTTCAAGCGCGGAGTGTTGAACAATCATCTTGTTCCAAAAGTAAGACACGCAGAACTTTTAACAGCGGGTGATGTTGTTTCTCTCCCTTCCCCCGATTTTGCCAGTCCTCCAGATATTCACTTTACTTTTGTCACATTGTGGTTTGCTCGTTGTTTTTCTGGCTCATTCTCTCTTCTACGCCGCAGCGGTTATACACAACAACTTGTGTCCATTTGCAACGGTTTTCTGCAACGTTCCCAGTATGCGGCAAAAATTAACTACGGAATAAAAGTAAGTGAGGATCCAAAAAAGGTCGGAACTTAAACTCCTTTTATATCGATTTTTGAGGAACTGCCTATTGCGGCCAGTGACATACAGCATTGTGATGTGAGAAATGGTGATATTAGTACGCTCCCTTCCCAGAACTTTGTTGTTGTTGTTTGTTAAGTTGAGTTGAACATGAACGAACATGACCCCCTCCCGCAAGCTAAACTTTCGAACCCTCAGTACGCGATCGCGAAGTTTTAAACGGGCGCTCTAACCATCATAGTGAGTCGATCTCGAGTCAACGCTACATCAAAATGTCCTCAAAACGCACATGATGAAATGATGTTCGAGCCCAACTCCTGTCCTCCAAAATGTTTGAGACTCGTCCCAGTTCACAGGGGAACTCTGGCTCGAATTCCCAATTTTTTGGGCACAATACGACGCCTTAGTGCACTCCAAAATGACTATTTCTCGAGCAGAAAAGTTTTCAAATTCTCAAGAGTTGTTTGAAAGGTCGAGCCTTAGAATGCAATTAAGGGAATACCAATAACGTCAGAAGACTATAACATAGCAGTCGACATCTTATTTCAAACGTACAATAACGCACAAGTTCTTCGTCACCTAATTTACACGGAGCTGGCAAGTCTCCCCCGTGCAACCGAGAGGAAATTAGACACGCTGCCAGGGATACTTCATATTGAAAAATGCTGCGTCCTTGTCCCACAATATAACTCCATTACCCCAAGATACGCAGAATACGCTGATTAGGGGGCGCCCCCTCTCACATAGAAGGCTCGCCACCTATTTGTCCAGTCGTGAATCTACGACGGAGTCACAAAGGGACAAATGAACCTCTCAACCCCCGTCAATTAAGTTGATTGCATACATAGAAGTGTAAGAAAGAGACTACTTGATGCAACTTGGGAACTACGTCAATTCCCATAACTACAGCCATCACAACAGAGGACGAATGTTCGCATTTAGAGACTCTGAACGGACCAAAGACTCGACTTCTCTGCAAAAATCTTGCTCGTTTTGCTTCAGAGCGAATCATAGTGCCGTCCAATGCAGAGAATACAGTACACCAGAAGACGGTGGGACCGGATTCACCTAAATGAGCTCTACTTTATATGCCTAAGATGCGATCACAAGACAAGTTCATGTGATCGAAACCAGCTCTAACAACTTCGCAGCCATAACCATCCCTGCCTCCCGTCTGCTATCAAGCAAAAACAAGCCCCCGAAAACAAAGTCCTACCAAATAGAGATAACAATCCATTTACCGAGAACATTTCAAAAAGTTGGCCTACAAAAGAGAAAACCAAGACATACGATAAGAGTAGGGCATATGATAAACAATATAACAACCACACCACTTCCGAGAACTTAGTCAACTTCTCGAGAGAGACGACGGAAGTAAGAACTGAAGAGGAAATTAGAAAAGGGCAAAAGAACAAACCAAATGACCCATGTTACTCCGTAACCAGTCGCACAACAAGTTAGGGGAACAAGATGCATCGCGATCGAACAATGAAGAAATCCTACTCATGTGCACTGAGGTTACATTGACGAATCCGAATGACGACAAGAAGAGAGTGCGAACACTAGCCCTTCTGGACAGTGGATCAACCCACTCCTATATAACAAGTGAGGTAGCAGAGAAGCTTGAATTAGAACACATCAAGGATAAGAACATCACTCTTCACACATTTGGCAATAAGGAGTCCCAGACAGTACGATCGAAGTTGTACGTGTTCTCTGATAGAGAACGATTCCGTGTATCAGATGAAAGTGCAGTCACTCCCTTCCTTACAAAACCCCTTCCGATTCCATTCAACCTTCCGATTATCACAAGAACTTAACAGTAACTTCTCGATATCCACGAAAACAAAGCCGCAGGCATTCTCATTGGCATGGATCACTTCTGGCAACTAATCCTGTCAACCGATGTTCAATCCTCTACAATAGCTAACGGATACAATCTACTGAACACAAGACTAGGGAAAATAATCTCTGGAAAGAGAATATCAACACGAACTATCAATATGGCAGTACAAGACGAAGAAGGTCAATCGCTAAACAAACAGAACGTAGACGAAATGGAAGAAAGGTTCTCGACAAGCGAATCCTCGATATCGAATGAAGCACGCCCCAAAAATGACAACCTATGCCTCAGAGCCTCCAACAAACCAGCACGCCGTGATGAAGATGAACATCGTGACCGTATAAAGCCTTCATTCGAAACGAAGCAATGGAAAGTTCCAAACAAGCCGCGGACTAGAAAGAAAAAAGAAAATTCTGAACTACGATGGAAGAACGAAACTGAGGTCTTATCGAGAAGCACAGTTAGCCACTTTCGAATCGGTGAAGAAGAACCAGCACGCATGTATAGAAAACAAGATGAAACCTCCGGAGAAAGAAGACCAGCATGCATGTATAGTGAACAAAACAAAACCTCCGAAGAGAAGAGACAGAGCTTTCAACCCAACATTATCATTTACTTCCCCCAGTCCGACCGTCCTCCTTCGCAGGAAATGGATGTCTTTCCTACGCTTATCCCTGTACTTATGTTTAGCAGCCAGCTTGATCTCATCTATCCCCGAAGCGGACAGCAACATCGTAGACGACTACTGTATCCGGCACAACAACTCCAAATCCATTCCGGCTCGCACACCATGGCAAGGTGAAAACATAGACAAAAGCTCCGAGGAATCATTCAAGATCATCAAACAAATTCGGAAGCTGCTGTTCAACCAATTTCTCACAGCCAAGAATCGGAACCAATTGCAGACATGCGACCACTGACAGCGACATCGATACAGGCTGCTCTCCAACAACCAAGGATTCCCTCGATCCGTTTGAACTTCAGGAAACACCCCGAACGCGAGACGAAATCGAACGGACACTTGGAATTAAAGAAAACTATCTTCAAAAACCTAAGAAAAGATGGAACGAGGACTATCTCATAAGCAAGATAAGAACCATCTCAACAGAAGCACAACAAACAACCACGCTCATCAGAAACCTGTCAAGAAAACCATATTGTCACAGTGAAAGATTCATGGAAACGGAAGCGGCCCCACTACAAGCCATCAAATTCACAAGAACAAACAAAGAATACATTCTATGGGAACCTGAAAACTAAAAAGAAACACCATCTAATTTACACTTCTACCACGTCTACAGCATTGCAATCAAGAAAAAACAAGAATCGCACCATCCAAACTGCAACAGAGAAGACCACCAGATAATACTGTGATCTTATGATTTATGTCAATTGTATTCTGTTTTTTTCGGGCGGGAGTGTTTTCGCCTATAAGCTCATATCACTATAGTGTGGTATATAAGCCCCACTCATGACAGAGTGGTAGATTTAGGGCACACTTGAAAAAAGGAAAAACCGATAATAACCAACAACTGCAGCATACTTTTCCTGAAAATTACGACTTCCCTGTCTCCAGCTTAGCTACCAAATTACGACCTTCATCGCTGGGGATGCCCAGTGCACGACAAGCCCCGATTGTAGTACGCCGTAACAAAGACTGCATCACAAGAACTTACGTCGATTTTGTTAGTTTACACACTTCGAATGTGAAATCCTTGCCGATCTTATTTTCGTCACATAGTTCAATGAAACAGTCCTCAATTACCAGAAGAAGAAATGGCGGTTCTGGATCATCTTGTTTATTGAACACGAATAAAAGATTTGCCTTCAGAACAGCAAAACACGGTCGCCAGCGGAAATCCTGGAAGTTCTATAATTTTCAAAGTCATAACTGAAACAATGTGTATATAGTGGATGGTGGTATTTTACGATTTTTCGTCCAACATCATGAACAAAATCTCAATTCGTGTGACAGCCGGCCGCTGCGGCGGTTGGTGGATCAAACAGAGTCACAGGTAAATATAATATACCCCTTAGAGTGGCTTACTTCAATAGTTTAGTGGGTGACTTGAGGATGTCGCGAAGGCCGGTGTTTGGGATAATGTATCTTTTGTACGATTCAGGCTCTGACAAATGGTTTCCCGGATAAATATTCAAGTTTTTTCAAAAATGGTAAAAGTTAAAACCAGCAAAAAAACCAGCAAGTGTTCTCAGAAATGTACGTACGTGTGCAGGTAAAATTAGGCATCCTAAGCCGTTACTCCCGGGAGGCCAGATGTGATCACGTTATCCAGTAAGTTTGTAACGATCATGTGGGAGCTGCAAACATGAACTACATGATGATCCCGCAAGTTCTTGTATACATGGAAAATGAGTTTGAAATCGATTACAACCCGACTGAAAGTCGAATCCATGGCGCATCTTAAGCATGAAGTCACCTAATGAACCAGAAACGTTAAGACAAGCTGATAAACGCTCTCGGCGGAGCGCCGAGGTATTGAGCAACTTCCCACTGTAACAGGGAGACCCCCCCCGCCCCAAGGCACTTCCTTTTATCTCGCGCAAATATGCCAGTCCAAGCCGGCGGGAATACTAAGCGCATGAGTAGAACAAAGCTGCAGAAAAATCAACATCACAAAAATTTTTACCCTTCAAGAATTAACGTCGTCCGCCCAGCTGAACAATTTACACCCCCTCGCTGAGAGATCCCAGCGCACCAGAGATGCCCTCAGCTAAGTACCCCTGCCCCAGCTACGTTAGCTCCCTTAGGCCCTCCTTCATCCAGCTGATATTATTCGTATTGAAGGAGAAATGACAGATGAAGTATCTAACAGCGAGACATCAGAGGCACACCATGAAGCAACAGAAAAAACGAGGTTTGGATCCTTAAACAGATGTAAACGCAACGCCTTCCGTATATGAATGCAGAAGCTGCCGAAAAGTGGCGCTTCTCGGGCTGATGACGATCTTAGCGCGCGCTACTTACTTCAGAACCCGCACAGTGACACAACCATTTAAGCTGTTTGTCGGTGCTACCTGTCCGTCGACATAAAAAGTTAATTTTGATATTTAAGAAATTTTGTAGGCATGAAAAGAAGGATCACGATCTGGGGAATGATGTCAAGCTCTCCACAAGCCGATCAATAATGGAACGATTCTCGGTGGATGACCTTTTCAAAAAGATAAAGGAATGTGTCTTCGAAGATCCGGTCGTTAGGATTCTATCAAATCGCGTTTGCGCTTTTATTACCCCAGAAACGTCACATCTATTTGTGGGATTGTCCCGTTCGTTTCGCAAGCCGGCCGGTCGAAGAACACCTGACCACTTGTCGGATCTTGTTGATGACAGAAAACAACTGTTGCTGTAATATCGCATAGTTTCGCCTCCATGCCTTCTATTCCAGAGTGACCACACGTTTTTCGTTTCTTTCTAATGTGATTGGTCAGATATGTTCCTAATTAGATTAGCGTCCGCTGACCCCGACCTATCTGAAACAATCTTATCACCATTCCAATAGAAAGTGCAACCTTATCTCGTGAACATACATTGGCTTTTGTTTCGACACTTCCTTGTGTACGGATTTATGGGAAATTTCTCTCATTTGAAGAGATTGACTCTCGCTTTTGTTGTAACCTCCCATTTTGCTTGGAAGTAGTGATTAACTCATTGATGACCGATTCCGATTATGAGTTAACTGGTGTGACAGCATTTGATACTGTTCGACTTAGGAGGACGCATCTTTGCACTTCTGCTTGTTTCTTTTGCCAGATCCTGTCAAATTACAGCTACCACCTTGATGAGACTAGTACTTCTGTCAAGTGTAAACGAAGCTCATGCTATTATACCTTGACAGAAGTTTCACAGGTCTGAGCAGAAGCCATGGATAGTGATCGATGGGAGCCAGCAAAATGCTCCCACTAAGCCGAATTTCGTCTATTTCCAGCATCTCTTTTGTGCATTCTTGAAGGGCGAACTGTTGTGGAAGAAGCGATTTTCTCTCGAAAGATAGGTGATAAGCGATTTACGTGCTGCGAAATCTCACAGTGCCATTAATTGGGGAGAAATTCTCTAGTAGAAGCTCTTTGCTGTCATTCACTAGAGTCTTAAAGGCACATTCCTTGACTGCAATGAAGGTGGAACCCCTTTCGCCAACACGATCAAAGGATCCCTAGCGGCACAGAATAAACCACTTCGCAACTTGAAATCACTGGTAAGGAAGCAAGATTCATCTGATTTCGGCCAACTTTCACTTCTCTGAATGGACTTTCCACGCGTGCCGCGTTTTTATGCTACCCTCTACGACTCTGCGCTCTCGCCGACGTTTGTCTAAACTCTCGCCCGCACGCGTAATCCTCCTTTCCATACTCGTCGCTCCATGCATCAAATTAGGTGCAAAAAAGAGAAGCTCCGTTTACGGAGTTTCTGACTGCTTCCGCTTTTTCCCTTTTTTTGCAGAGTTAATTAGTACTTCTGCACTTGTTACTTGACCATAATGATTACGACTTTCGATCGCGAACTACGACTTTGGATCGCGAAATG